GCAGAGGGAGGAGATACTGAATGTTTGGATGCATTTTAGGCAGCCTTGACCCAGGAAGGATCTCTAACAGCTATCTGAGGAGTGGCCAGTGAAGTGAATGTAAACACTGCATTTTCTCTGAAAAAGCATGAAGGTAATGATTCTACTCATCAGAACAAATTCAATAAGCTGTAGTTGTTTCTGGTGACTATAGTGTCCCTTTAAAGGTAGGCAGACAATGTAATAGAGCAGCAGGAAATAGCTAGCAGAATGCTTGGTTGTATAGGGAGAGGTATTAGCAGTAGAAAGAGGGACGTGCTCATGCCATTGTACAGAACACTGGTGAGACCTCACTTGGAGTATTGTACGCAGTACTGGAGAGTGTATCTACTGAAGGGTATTGATACTTTAGAGAGAGTTCAGAGAAGGGCAACTAAACTGGTTCATGGATTGCAGGATAAAATTTACAAGGAAAGGTTAAATTAACTTAACATGTATAGCTTGGAGGAAAGACGAGACAGGGGGGATATGACAGAAACATTTAAATACATAAAGGGACTCAACACAGTAAAGGAGGAGACTATATTTAAAAGAAGAAAAACTACCACAACAAGAGGATATAGTCTTAAATCAGAGGGGCAAAGGTTTAAAAATAATATCAGGAAGTATTACTTTACTGAGAGGGCAGTGGATGCATGGAATAGCCTTCCAGCTGAAGTGGTAGAGGTTAACACAGTAAATGAGTTTAAACATGCGTGGGATATGCATTAGGCTAGCCTAACTATAAGATAAGGCCAGGGACGAATGAAAGTATTTAAAACATTGGTCAGACAAGATGGGCCGACTGGTTCTTATCTGCCATCACATTCTATGATTCTATCAATGAGAAAAAATGTGTTTAGCCGATGAATTGGAAACTGAAAATATGAAACTTGTTAGAGGAAGAGGCATGAAAGTGAGATGAGAGACTTATGCCAAACAAAAAAAAAAAAAAAATTCAGAACCTACATCTCAAATTAGATTAATCAATAGTTACCTAGCTGCCAAACAGACTTATTGAAAATACAAATGTCATGTAATCAAACTGATTCTTGGACAGTGGTTGAACTGTTGAACAGGTATTCTCAAATTTCCATCAACATGCCCCTTGCATATTTGATTTGCAGCTTTCTTGATTTGAGCAAGTATGAGATTGCAGTGTGACACCAAGTGAACAAAATGGTGAAAGTAGAGACTAGCACGGCTGTTAATTGAGAAGATTAGAGATTGACAGAAGAGGGCAAACTAGGGCAAACTATTTAGTAAGGGCCTTAGTCTAAGGATCCCATTATACACATTCACTGCATCTCACTGAATATGATAAAGCACTAATATGAAACTATATATAGCACCATGACCAACCCTCACCAGGGATATTCAAAGAAATAAGAACCCCTTACCAAGTAAATGTGTCCAGAAGCGGCTCTAGACTTTATGAGGCCTTAGGCGAAACTCAAACATGAGGCCCCACTAACATAAAAGTGTCACATATACAAATTGATGCACAGTTTACCTGTGTATGTGCCTGAGAGTGTGTCTGACAGAGAGTATCCTTGTGTGTGAATGTATGTCTCTGTAAGCATGTTTGCCTTTTTGTCTGAGACCCTATGTGTATGGGGTAGCTGCTTGAAGTGTGTTGTGTGTATGGGGGGGGTGGGGGCGATGGTGAGAAGGAGAGGTGGGTGATGGTGACAGGGAGGTGATGGTGTGGGGGGTGATGGTAATGTGAGAGGGGTGATGGTAACGTGAGAAGGA